CAGGTTGAGAACCACTGCCCTAAAGGGAGAGATGCCAAAGAAATACATAAACTTACCCTTACTCCTTTTTAAGGTTGATCATGCTAATAAATCTGTTTGTAATTTTACAAGTATTTATACAAGTTTAAAGAAATATCTGATTGCTAAGTTATATATAGTTTGTAAAAATAGACCCCTCTTTTGGAGTAGAGGCGGGGCGTGGTGGCTCACGCCTATAATCCTAGTACAATGGGAGGCCAAGGCGAGTGGATTGCCTGAGCTCATAGGTTTGAGACCAGCCTGAGCAAGTGTGAGACATCATAAAATAAAACTCTAAAAATAGCCAAATGTTGTGGCAGCTGCCAACTAGTTCCAGCTACTTGGGAGGCTGAGGCAAGAGGATCACTTGAGCGCAAGAGTTTGAGGTTGCTGTTAGCTGTGGCACAACAGCACTCTATCAGCACTCTACTGAGGGTGACAAAGTAAGACTCTGTCTCAAAAAAAGAAAAAAAAGAATATCTTTAGAAATAGAAAAGAGTAGATTGAGAAAACCTAGATTTAAATTCCATAATGACCCTAGTTGTGTGACCTTGGGAGTCATTTTAAGTTTCAGTAGAGTGATTAATTTTATAATAGCTCATACTTGTTTGTATATGGAATATTCAGTGTTTCTCAAACTTGCCTAAACCTAAAAATCACATGGGGTGCATAAAACACCTATAGATTCTGGCCTTCCCTCATAGCTTTTAAATTCATCTTCATCATTAGAAATCTATATTTTTAATAAGTAACTTAAGTATTTCTAGGATCAGGTTTGGTCTACTTACCACTAGTATTCAGCATTAGTTACTAATTTAACATTCTCTCAAACTAAGTTGCTAATGGTTTAAGATTTTATATATTTGGGTTTGTTTCAAGTTTATTATGATTTCTTTGGCAAAACATAAAAATGGCAATGCTGGGCTGCGCCTGTGCCTCAAGGAGTAGGACGCTGGCCCCATATGCCAGAGGTGGCGGGTTTAAACCCAGCCCCGGCCAAAAACTGAAACGACAACAAAAAAATAAATAAAATAAAAAATAAAAATGGCAATGCTCTATCTGAAAATGAAAACAAAAATAACAATTACATAAAAATTATACAAGCTTGGCATGGTGGCTCACACCTGTAATCCCAGCACTCTGGGAGACTGAAGCCAGTGGATTGCCCAAGCTCACAGGTTTGAGACCAGCCTGAGCCAGAGCAGGACCCCATCTAAAAATAGCTGGGCATTATAGTAGGCATCTACTGTAGTCCTGGCTACTTGGAGGCTGAGACAAGAATCGCTTGAGCCTAAGAGTTTGAGGTTGCTGTGAGCTATGACTCCATGGCACTCTACTGAGGGCAACAAAGTGAGACTCAAAAAAAAATATATTATACAGTATTTCCAGTAAAACTTTCCACATACATTCTACTACTACCTGTTATAGCAAATTGTGCTATATTTCCTGAATTATGTTAATGGTAAATCTTTTCCCAATAGCATTGGATTAGTGTCAACTTTTAATAAAACGGAAAACATATCCACCCAAAGCCAGTGTCTTTGTGAGTGTTACTTTATGAATTAACTATCAAAACTAAGAATTTAGAAAGCTATCTGTGTTGCTTCCAGAAATTTTCTATCATTTAATATCAAATATTTCTTAAATTTTTTCTCTATTAACTGATTTAGTGCCCTTTACAGTTCTTTCTAGCCCCACTGGTACCAGCTGCTCCCCTCTCCACCACCCAGTTTTTATTAAAATATGTGGTTTTTTTTTTAGAGACAGAGTCTCACTGTGTTGCCCTGGATAGAGCGCCATGGCTTCACAGCTCACAGCAACCTCAAATTC